ATCTACGAGAAACAGAGCAAAGTTTCACGATGGTTCATAGGAACTAAGGCTTAATTAGCACAAGGGCCTAAATTGCCTTTGGCAGTTTCCTAGACGTAAATTGAAACTAAAATTCAGACCTCATTTGGGCATTCTATTTTCTTATGCGTTTCCGTTGAAGGTTCGCCATTTTCTACTTCATGTCATGGAACAACATTTTCATTGAAGGGCTGTTGAATTTGGTGTCAATTTCAATGACCGTGGAGATTCTGTTATACTACTACATTCACATGTTATTGTTAATAATGGTTGTATATAATCTACAACTCTGGCATCCGTTGTATCTGGGAGGAAAAGCAGAAAATATTTCAAATACATAAAGGGTAAAATTGACATTTAACACTCGTTCTTGTGCCCAAGAGCCATTTTACACTGGAAAAGGACTTGTAAGGTTGAGCAACTATAAAACCGGATGGCAAGTCCGGTTAGCTATCACAAAACCAACAATGGTGATAATTATAAATCCAAAAAAATTGTTAACCAACTATGTATGATAAGTATTGCACCACATTTTTTCATTCTCTTATTGAATTATGAGTGTGCGGTGCAATTTTGACACACGAAGCACTGCATGACACTAGCTAGCTAATCTTCCTGCACGGCGGCAGCGGCTTGCCGCACAGGCACAGGTTGTGCGCGTACGCCGCCGCGGGGAACCGGTTGAACGGCGCGGCCTGCGGTATCCGCCCGCACAGCTTGTTCCCTCTGAAGCTCGCGTGCCGGACGCCCGCCATCCTCGTGAAGTTATCCGGTATCCTCCCGACGATGGCGTTGCTGGAGAGGTCCAGCCACTCCAAGCTCGCCATGGCCGCCATGGTTGCCGGGATGACGCCCCCGACTCTGTTCCGGGAGATGTCCAGCCTCTCCAGGCCATGCAGCTTCGAGATCGAGCTCGGTATCTGGCCGCCGATGGCGTTCCTCGACACGTCGAGCCACTTGAGGCTCCCGCCGCCCGCGAAGTCGGGCAGAGCGCCGTTGAGCTTGTTCTTGGACAGGTCGAGGCGCCACAGCTTCGGCAGGCCGAACAGTGACTTCGGAATGGGGCCTGCGAGCAGGTTGTCATCGAGGGCGAGAGAGTTCAGAGACCGGAGGCTGCCGATCTGCGGTGGAATCCTGCCGGCGATCTTGTTGTGGCTCAGCGACAGGTCGGCAAGGTCACGCAAGGTGTATAACGACGCCGGCAGCTCGCCGGAGAAGCTGTTGTTGCTCAAGTCCAGCAGCGCCAGGCTCTTGAACCGCTGCCCTACAAATTCCGGGACGACGCCTGACAGAAGGTTGCCGCTCAGGTCGAGGTACGCCAGGCTGGACAGGTTCCCGTAGCTCGACGGGATCCCGCCGGTGAGGCGGTTCCCGGCGAGGTTGATCTGCTCGAGACCGCGAACGCGCCCGAGCTCCGGCGGCAGCGGGCCCTCCAGCCGGTTGCCGGCGAGCGAGAGGTACCGGAGGGAGGTCATCTTGGACAGCGCCTTCCCGGGTACCCCGCCGGCCAGCGCGTTGCCCTCGAGGTAGAGCTGCTGGAGGCGCGTGAGCCGCGTGAGCCGCGAGAGGGCGTCCGGGACGGCGCCGACGAGTCGCCCCATGTCGCGGATCACCAGGGACTCGAGGAACTCGAGGCCGCCGAGGGAAGGGGAGATGGCGCCCGCCATGTGGCGACCCCGCTGCGACTCCAGGCGCAGCGACACGACCCTCCCCGTGGCGGCGTCGCAGGCCACGCCCTCCCACCCGCCGCCGCAGCAGTCGTCGCCGGCCCACGTGGCGAGGATGCCCGTCGTGTCGGCGGTGATGCCGGCCTTGAAGCCGAGCAACGCGGCACGGTCGGGGGGCGAGCATGGCGGGGTCGGCTTGTCGCCGCTGCCCGTGCCGGCGGCCGCATCGCCGGACAGCAGGGCGGCGGTGGCGAGCAGGAGAAGCAGAGCACGGAGCATTGTCCTTGGTTGAGTACAAGTTGTACCGGTGATCGACGTGATGCGTGCACAATGTAGTATTTGTAGCTGGAGCTGGTGGTGCAATGCGTGGGAGCCTCAGCCTCGTCGGCATTTACTTTGTTCATGCGTTGGGGCTCTCCGGTGCTGCGGTGGATGAATGGAACGTTTGAATTGGCGCCTTTGGGAGCGCAATGGCTCACATGCCTGAGATTCCTACAGTAACTGTGAAAAACCCTCGGCCGTTTCAAAGTATTTGAAGCTCTCTGTTTGTTATAAGTGAAATATCTTAAGTTTGACCAGATCTATTGAAAAATATACCAAACATCTACAACACCAAATTAGTTTTATCAGATTCATTGTGCAATGTACTTTCGCATTGTATATATTTCATGGTGCAAATATTAAATAATTTTATGTACATGGTCAGACTTGAGAATTTTGACCTGGGGCAAACCTAAGACTTCAAAAATATTTGGAACAAAGGTAAATATATCTCAGAAGAATACATTGCAGCCACCTCACCTAGGTACTGCTAATGAAAAACATTTCCGCAAACCCAAGCAATGAAATTGCTCTCTTGTTCCGCAATAGCGAGATAATTCACCGCTTAAATCCAGATTGCAAGGTTCAAGCAACAGGCAATTCCATGGCTGAACATCACAGGATGGCCTAGAAATGGTTTTCAACTGTGTAGTTCGGGCCACCGACACGATACGTTGCCTCGTTAGCATTAACAAGGCGTAACCTTACTGGAGCCAACAGGTGCTACAACACACTGTCATCAACAAATAAAGAACAGGTGATACAACACGACCAGCTAAACATACTAGACATCAAAAATTCATCCAGGCGTGCTTCTTAGGTGTGTAACTCGGTGACAAAAACTCGGCAAGGCATCCCTTGGCCCGTCGCAGCAAGTTATCGAGCCCCTCTAAACATTACCAATATTGCCAAAAGCAAACCTTCAAGAAGATAACTAATGCAGGCCATACAGGATCAGTCCAGCGGTGCGTTCTCTTTGATCACCGCTGACAAGTTTGTAGCCGCCTCTTCGTTTTTCAGTCGGAGTAAGTATGTTCGAGCTACAACATTGCCACCATCTGATTCAGACTGCGCATCCTGTGAAAATACAGCACGGATCAGAGCCGTCGTACTGGGTGACATATGCGGTGCACACATCGGAGGGGGTGGTACTTACTGAAGTGTGAAATATTGAGGCAACTGTGTTCTTTTGAACACTCATCTTTATCCCCTTGTAGATCATAGCATTCAGAAGAATTTTGCCAACCTGCGACCAGCAGTCAGTCATTAATATCTTGTTCGCAACCAGAAATAACCTTACAGTAGTATAACTAAAGGGGGAAGGGCGATTTCAAACAACCTGCAGCCAAAATGTTACAAATATTTTTAAAAAAAATTGTCTACCGCACTAAATGCTGTATGAAACGACAAAAGAATCTGATCTACTTTTCAGGAACAGAGAAGTTGAGCAACCACACCAATAGTATAACAGTTACAGGAGTGGAATACTTTGCAAAACTATATAAGATGCAGGCATTTCACGTTTGAGAGGCAACTGAAGACAAATGAACTTGGATTACAATATGCCAGCAGAAAAGGGAGAGCACATACATCATTTCTGATAACAACTGTTGGGGTGGACTCTTTCGAAGCTTTCTCTGCACCCTCTTTACATCTGATAGAGAGCTGACCGACACCAATGTCTTTCCAACCCTTGGTAGCATCATCATGCTACATGAATGGAAAAAGTTGTGAAATCACATGCTAAGCATAGTTTGCAGAACACATGGATAGCAGCACTGAGGAACACAAGTTATAAATCTATGAACAAAAGTATAATGCTAAACAGGGAAGAGCGGAAATGATACCTTCACATACACCTTGCATTTGGCTTCATGAACAACAACTATTCCTTTCTCTTCTGCTTTCTTTACAGAAGGGCTGCTTGGTTGCTCGGCTTCAGCATCTGATCATTCAAACAAGAGTAGAATTAAGTATTGAGAGGGAGTCCAGTGATAGGGGTTGGCAATGAAAGAACCTAGGTTAATTAAAACAACAAAGGATTCCTGATATCAAAGAGACAAGAAAAATCACCCACACACCCCTGTCCGTGCGTGCGCTCAAGTCAATTATTACTAAAGTTTATGTTACACCATCATCTGTTAAGAAACAGTATAGGTACCCCCTCAGTATAAACCACCATTGTATTTTTGCTGGCATGGAATCCTACCAGGGAATACACGTCAATATGGCATCTAAATTAGCCATAAATAGTCAGGTTAGCATCTTGAGTGGCTGGGCCTGGAACCCACAGGCTGGTGGACACTTAGTTTTGAAACCTTCAACCGCTACCCCACAGCACACTCCTGCCTCTAGCCTGTGCTATGAAATAGCAGTGCTTGACATATTGTGCCACACTACCTCATCCGCTGCTCATACTCCACCCAGGCGGAAAAAAACGACGAGCAGCTGCAATGTCGAACATTTAGGTCTCAACACCTCACAAGTCAACCTTGTAAGAGGATCAATGCAGTAGGAACATAAAACGGCTCACTGGCAGCTTTAGACATATGAAGTAGACTATAATTTAATTTTGGGATGGACTCAATTTTTGCTTCAAGTCATGATCTCGTCGAATGTGACAATGGGGCAATATAACCAGGCCATTAGGTCAATCAAGACAAAAAAAATATCACATTCTTGCATGATAAACTGCATCTCGTACTAAAATCTTGAGCATTCCTTGAAAGACAGTGGGTGGGGGAGATTGGGGATGATCCAGTGATGTCATACAATTAGCTGATGCGGGAGATGCTTTTTGCCACTGTGGAAATGTTAGATGATGCCTGCGACCAGCAGGCAAAAACCACCTACAAGACGCCATTGAGGGTTGACTTTTACAGCAAGTTTAAGAGATAACTAAATGAGGGTGTTCCTCTGACGGTTGTATAGCTGAGGAGGTACACTGAATTGTCATAACACGGGTGGAGCGGCAAATTGGAATTTTCCCATAACTTAACAAATTGGTAGATACACACCTTCATCCGCATCAGCTGAAGCTTCAGCAGCTTTCATGTTTCCTGATCCTGAAAAACAACAATAAGAACATTTGATTATTCCATCGACCTAGAGGGCTCGTAATACAAAATCAATTCAGTTCCTACAGCACCATCAATAGAATGATCAAATTGCCTTTTCATCATCAGAGTTTCACGTGTCTGTGTGTTAGGCAAAACCAAGGAATTCATCAAGCCAATTACTTGTTTTTCTTTTCTGAACTGCATAGGAAATGAGAATTTGATATTTGGGTCAAATGTAAACAGAAATATGGTTAACTTTGGGGCACTTGATAAACAATATTACTTAATATTAGCTCTGATATATGCATTTGTTTGTCAATTGCCATTATACAAAATAGGATATAATGTTTCCTTGGGGCAGGAACATACAACCTTAGTGCTAAAATGATAATAAGCCGTTACAATTAAAAGTTTTATCATTCCCTTCCAAATATACGCGTGAACCAACCAAACATAAAGGACGCACTAATGCCAAGCAAAAGAGAAGTAAAATACCAGTGCAAATTGGTTGCTGGTTCATTGAAAACAGTGTTGGGGCTGGCATGTTAAAACTGGAACCAGTGGTAGAAAAAATGGACGGGGTAGTTGGTGTTGAAAAGCCGTTATTTCCACCAAACTGGAAAGTCGATTTGCTGCTATCGCCAGGCGTGTTAGTTGGTGTTGAAAAGCCGTTATTTCCACCAAACTGGAAAGTCGATTTGCTGCTGTCGCCAGGCGCGTCCTTGTTATCAAATATGCCTGCGCATAATTATGACACAATCAACATAATAAATATATAACTACCAAGTCTGCAAAAAAATACAACAAGTGAAATACAATATGGCATATAAAGGTATAAACTGGTGAATAGTTATACCGCCAAAAGGTGATGTTTTCTTCTGAGAAGGGAGTGAGAACATATTCGGTGAGCTTGAGTTCTGAAAAGCTAGGGAGCTGGCTCCTGTAGTTGGACTCTTCTGTCCATTATCTGATCCTGGCTGTACCATAAACTTGCTATTGACAGTTGCCGGCGTAGTAGTCTTCTCCTCATTGGCTGGACTTGGGGATGAAACAGCTGTCGTACCTGCTTTATTCTGCCTAAGCCAATTGACAACATCCTTGAAATTTTCCTAAGGGGGAGAGAATAACATGAGATCAAGACATTATGACTTTAAGAGAAATCTGACTGACTGCTCACATAACATCTGAAGTGCCAAAATACCATCTAAGCAGTACCCAATAGGTGACAAGTTCAAAAGTAGTATGTGCTGGCAAAACAATACAGTATCCAGTTAACGAAAAAGTGACGTTCGGATATTGACAGTCGTCAAATCTAGCATTGATCAATAGTTCAAATTCTGAAAAAATAGTTCTTTACACATATCCATGCATATGATTTTCAAGTTTCCAGTCTAAATATTAACAACAATATAGAAGGTCAAAGTTTTCAGAGTTTTGACTCAAGACATGTCCAAAACGTCACCTTTTTGTGAACAGGAGGGTGTCATCAATTACAATTTAAAAACAGTTTTTTATTGCATGGAAGGTTGCATAGGATAGTAATTGGATGGTCTGCTAATCATATTTATCAGTAACACACTTGAAAAGATGACAACTGACTTATTAGTTACACACTCGAGAAGCTGTAACCTGGCTCTGATACAAGATCGTTAGAGCCTTTAGATCAAAGGGTGTAACCGTGAGAGGCAGGAGCTTGATGGCCGACGAGCACTTGAAGGGTAGGCACCGTTGAGGGCACAATAGGCAGCAAGGAAAGAGAAAGGTTTAGGGACAAGACTAACTTTACTGATAACTTGAGATTCACATACAGCCTACAGAACAACTAAGAGACGTTTGTGGTGACCTTGATACTGTGTTTATACTGTGTTTATAGGATTCACATACATAAATCCTAACCCTATAAACACAGTATCAAGGTCACCACGCTCATTCTCCTTATACATAGGAAGTTGGAGAGTCCAACTCAAAGCAACGGAACAGAATCCTACAGAACTCTAAATGAAAACAAGGGCATGTGGTAGTTTGATATTCGTACTCATAACATGATTCATCTTCACATTGTTGTCTGTTTGTGAACACCGTTGATATCTATTTGTTCGAAAATTCCTAGTTATTTTAAACTAATCCTAGCAACTCAGGAAGTAAATTATACTCTGCATCATCCACAAATCCACTACACATGCACGCCACGCACAAAACAAAGCAAATTGTGACAGCGATACATTTTATCAATGGCCACAGGAAAATATTAAATCTCTAGTTAAGGACTGTTGAATAAAGAAAACACCTTACAAGCTTGTGAAGCTTACCATTATTTCAGAAGCATGGGATAAGTAATCTTTCATGCCATCCTCCCAAAGTTCGGCCGGATGGTTTTGCAACTGCGATTGCACCCAGCTGCTCAAAACAAACAGGTAGATGAGTGCTTTCTCACATCGCACCAGAGGGAATACGCAGCATGAATGCCGAAAATGCACTTTAAAAATTTGTATTCAGGGATCTCTAGAAATACACTAGTACCTAAATATTCTTTATGGGATGACTATGGACCAGATATTCAGAAAGGACTTTAACTGGAGCTGAAACAATAAGCATGATAGGACAATGCACGCCACAAAATTTCAGGTTAAGTGACTGAGATGACGCGAGGCGAGCTAGCAGATGAAGAAGTGTCCGACCTTGCAAACTGGGTATTCAGCGCCCTCACGTGCCTGTTGGCGGCCTCGGCCCGTCGGGGGTCTAGAACAGCGGCAGCTCCTGTATGGGGAGGCTCTGCCCTGTGGACGTCCATTGCTCTCTTCCTTGACAGCTGCAAAAAATGTGCAACGAATTAACAGAGGCGGATTTTGAAGCAAGAAAAATCAACAGGGATATCTAAGATACAATCATGCTAGAGACCGCAGAAGTACAGCTACAAGGCTCGCACGGAAACAATCGTAAAGGGGAAATTTTTACTGTGCAGCGTCAGTGGTATGTGGGATTGGCAATAAACAGTAGAGCGTCTGCCGTAGCGCGATGCATAGGTGATGCGCGTTTGAGGCCGAGAGCCGGGATGCTACTAGGGGCGGATCTAGACGGTGTGCCGGACCGGGCGTGCGGCGGCGCGCCCGCCCAGGCCGGAGGTTGTGAAGGTGCGGTTGGGATTTAACCAATCGCCGGAGAAGAGCAACGGCGTACCTCGGAAGTGGGCGAAGGCTGCGGGCAGGAGCGCGGGGCGTCCCGAAGAGGACGGACGGGGACGGCGGCGGCGGCGGCGCGCGAGGGACGGTGTGCTGGGAGCCGGAGGGGGAGGGGGAGGGTGGGCGGAGAGAGCGAGGAAGCGGTGCGGGGAAGAGCGGGGACGGTGGTGGCGGCGGCGGGCGGGGGTGGGAGCCGGCGGGGGGAGGGAGGAGGCGTCGGCGGCGAGGCGAGTAGGGTCTGGGATGGAGGAAGAGAAGAGAAAGGTGTGGAAGGGAAGGAGGCCCGCTCTCTCACCGCTGCCGATAATGGGCCCGTCACAGGCCGGCCCGTTTAGCGCACGTGACTGGTGTTTTTTTTGAACAATAATAATAGAAAATACATGCGTAAAGATCGGCTTATTATGACACAAAAAAATACCTGAAGGTGGCTATATACTATTTTATATTTGTTGTAAGCATTACTTCTCATCCAGTACTTTGCAGTATCAAGGATTGTGTCATAGTTGCGCCTGCCGTTTTTAACTATGTATTAACCACATACACAAAGAGGTGCTAATACAAAATGTACTCCCTCGGTTTTTAAATACAAGACCTTTTAGGGATTTCAATATGATTATAGACATATTTTAGAGCGTATATTAAATCATTTTGCTCTATATGTAATCCGTATTACAATCACTAAAAATGTCTTACCAGTGGAATAAAGGTAACCAGTGTGTTGTTTGGAGTTGGTTCCTACGTCTTTTTATCTCTCACCGTTGTGCTCCCATGCGTGGATCCTAAATAGGAGGAATTCTTTGTCTAATGAGCAGGGGTAATCCAGCTATACCTTTTTTTCACCAAAAATACATTTGATTTATGCTGTTTTGTGTGTTCGTGGTTTGTCTCTGTGGCTGCGACTGCCAGAACTTTTGTTGTCTGCAAAATAAAAGGGATACCTATTTTATTCGATTTGCTCATCCTTTGGTGCCAGATATTTATCAAAGAATAAGTGGCTCAAACTCATCTAGAGAGAAGACCAGTATAGGCAACTATCTGTTTCCATCCAACACTTTCAAACTATGTATATAATAATTTTCAATTTATTTTCTTCCCACTGGGAAGTTTCTTGGTGACAGCCAGTATTAAGACAAAAATCACACTAATACCAGACAAAAAATACACTAATACCAGAAAACAACATGACAGATATGCGACAAAAAATACACTAATACCAGAAAACAACATGACAAAAAATACACTAATACCAGAAAACAACATGACAAAAAAATACACTAATACACTAATCATAAAAATTACTATGCGACAAAAGGGGATCGGTGCCCAGCAGATGAACAAAGAATTTCCAGTAAAACCAAATTGATGTTGCATAGTCACCCTGAAGTTTATGTATAAATGACACTTGACAGCCAGTATGTTGTTCAGTACTGCTCAAACTGCAAAAGTGGCACCCTATCAGTCCTGGACCTAATGGGCGACACAAGAATATAATTTCCCAACCTGACATGAAATCTATATTTTCCATGAAAGAGAGAAATGCAAACAAAATACACTGAGCACGCAATATATTGCTTGTTCCCAGCCCATGATTTAATGTGTTGACAGAGCAAAACACATGTTATTCCAATCAAGGTACAACATGGAGTGGACCTAGCCAGACACATTTACCTGTGTTCATCTCCTAAGATTATAACTCAATTCCATGTCATAGAAATTCCCACGCTAAAGAAAGCATTCCAAGGACCACAACAACAAAAGCAAACACAAACCCAACCTGCTATGTAAACTGTAACTGTTTCTGTCTTTCTCTCTGTATATGAGCAACCTATGTATGACTATCTATATGACCTTGATGCAAAATACAAACATAATAAATCTGTACTCCCATTCCTCCAAAACCGAAATTCCCAGACCATGAACCCAGGACCCAGCTGGTAGCTGGAGAGGACTTCTGTAGCAAGATGAAGATATCTCGCAACATGTCATGTAAAATTCCAACTTATGTGAGCCTGGACATAGTGCTTGGGCAGGAGAAGTAGAAGAGCAGCGAGGGACACAGGAAGGCGCAGCAGTTAAGGGCATCTCCAGCCGCGCTCCCAGGAAGGCCTCCCCAGGCGTTTTTTTCGCGCCGGCGCCGAAAAAACGGCCCAGTCGCGCCCCCAGAAGCCCGATTTTCGCCGGTTTGGGCTGAAAACAGCGCCGACGGACCCAGCCCGAACCCGGCGCGCTGGGGGGCGCCCGGGGGCGCCGGGGCGAGCTGTTTTGGCGCGTCAGCGACTCGGCGCCTCGTCTTCCCCCAACGGCCTCGGTTTCCCGCGGGGAATCAATGGCAAGGCTGCCGCCGGTCAGCCTTGCCATTGATTCCTCAGGGGCGGCGCTTCACGGGGCGGCGCGCCGACGCCTCCCTTCCCGCACACGCGTACACGCGCGGCCCGGCTATAAAAGCCAGCGGCCTCCACTTGCCTGTGCCCAGACCAGTCCCCCCCCCTCGCCGCCGTCCAACCCCTCCCTCTCCCTGCCTCTCCCGAGCGCCGTCCTCCGGCCCCTCCCTCTACCTCTCCCGAGCCCGCCCCGCCCCGCCGTTGCCATGGCAGAACGCTTCCCCGGAGACGAGGCGGCGGCCAACGACTTTGGCCGCCGTTCGCTCCGCGAACAGGAGTCCTGGCTCCTGTTCCAGGCGAACATCCCGGCGCCGCCGGACATGCGCGCCGGGCCATTGGGGTGGAGGCTCAGCGCCGGGGGAGTACCCATTCCCCCGTTGCCCGACGTAGTGGCGAAGCCGAAGTACTTCGCCGAGGAGGTCGAGATCGCGCGCGCGTCCCTCACCGATGCCCAACTCTCCCTCCCCCAGTACGCCGCCGACAACCACGCGGCCTGGGCGGCGTATTTCGAGCGCCGCCAGTAGCAGCGATTGGCGTCCACCAACGGCGCGCCGGTGGTCGGCGGCCGGCAGAACAGCGAGGGGCGTCACCTCTGGTGGGGCGTCCCCGACCGCACACTCGAGGGCGTGCTCACGTACCTCGAGGGCGGCAACGACCCGCCGTTGGCATACCCCCCGGCGCAGCACCGACGCGTCGGGCCATGGGCGCCAAGGAGGTTCGGCTCCTCCTCCTCCTTTTCTTCCTCCCGATCCTCGTCGCACTCCTCCGGCACTCCGGCCCTCCTCGGCGTCAAGGCCGAGCCCGCGGCGGAGTCCCCGCTCGACCGGTGCACTCGCTGCGCCGGCATCGTCATCAACGAGGGCCGCCGGCGCGCCTCGTCCTCGTCGGCTCCTCCGGCTTCGTCAAGCCAAAGACGGAGCCGGGGCCGGCGCCGGTGAAGACGGAGCCGGGGCTTGCGCCGGTGAAGGCGGAGTTCGACGACGACGACGCGGCCCTAGAATGGGCACGCCAGGACTCCATTGCGATGGAGAAGGCGCGCCGGGAGAAGGTGAAGGAGCGCCAGCGCGCCGCCCTGCGCGGCTTCGAAGAGCGCCGACGCGGCCGCGATGAAGACGGGGTCGTCGTCCTACGCGACAGCGACGACGACGACGACGACGCGCCGCCGCCAGTCCGCCATGGCGACGCCGGGTCCAGCAGGGGCGCCCGCGTCAAGGAGGAGAAGGCCGCCGACGACGACGATGGCGGCGACGACTTCAGCGCCTTTCTTTTTTAGATTAGGTTAATGTCATGAAAATGGTGAATTTCGCCGAAATTTGCCATGTTTAGACGAAATTTGTCATGTTTGGCCGAAATTTAACTAGTTTTTATCATAACTTCACCGAACGTCTCATCTTTTTTTTTCTTAATACGCGCCTAGGGACGGCCCTGGGGCCGACGGCTGGGGGCCGACTCGCCCCAGGGCCATTTTTTGCGCCGGCTCACCCTCAGGCGGCGCTTTTTGACGTCCCCTGGGGGGCCAACGGCTGGAGATGCCCTAAGGCTGAACCCGTGGAGGAGATTATTAGGCTCAACAAGAAGGAAAAGAAAAAGAAGACCAGGTTTAGACTTGCTCACGTCGTGCAGCTATGAGACCTACGCCCTAGGCAACTGCGCCACCACCACACTTACTGGACTACAAGCCAAACAAACCTCCTTGTTAGAGACAGGGCCAAACAAATCATGGATGGCTCCTGATTCTGTATATACCTGCAAGTATCAACAAGGGATTTCGACCTTGTTAGTTCATGTATCAACAAAGTATGTCATGCACAAGATTAGTTTGAATTTAGAAGCAATGAGCGAGACTCAGAGTGCATACTTCACTCACAATTCAAAACAAGAACCAAGAAAAATATATGGAGCCTACAACTCTAATATGTCGGAAGCCTGGGATTTTCTTTCACTGAATATGAACCTGCTTCAGGGCAACATAGCTAGATAAAAGAAGAGCAGTAACATTCTACCAACATGATAAATCGAGCCCTCAGTTGGGAAATTCACACATAAAGTTCAAACCAAACATCTGTTTTATCAGAGTAAATAGCATAAAACTACTACTTTACAGGCTAGAGTTTCAAAAAACTACCGGTTTTTAATTTTTCTCAGATAACTACCAAGTCAGAGGTCGGCTGTTTCAAAAAACCCAAATTGCCGAGTGCTTATCTATTGATCGTGATTATGACAGGTCGGACCCGCACCTAAACGAAGTGTTAGTTTGACCGTTAACTGACATGTGGGGCCCACATGTCAGTGTCTCTTCTCATCTAGTCATCTTCTCCTCCCTCTGCCTTCCTTCTTCTCCTCCACTCTCTCTGCTTGCGAAGAACGCCAGAGAACCGCCATGGCCGCCGCCCACGCCGCCATCCTATGCCATGTCCGGTTGCCGCCCTATGCCATGTCGCCCCCCTCCGTTCGCGGTTGCTGCTGGTAGGAGCTCGCCGGAGCTCCTGGTGACAAGGAGCTCATAGGCCTCAACAGCCTCGTCCGCGGCGGGGGTCGTTGCCGCGCGTGCCGCCGTGGGGCTCCGGCTTAGGTCGCCGCACCGCCGCGCGCCATCGAAACCCGCCGGGGTCGCGGCGCCGTCACTCGCCATCGGGAAGCGCCTGGGGCGCCGCCGGCCATGGGTCTCCGCTCGGGTCCCACGCTGCCGCCCACCATGGGGAGCCACCTGGGGGTCACCGCCCGCCATGGGGCCGCCAGAGCTCGCTGCCCGCCATGGGGAATCGACGTCCTCGCCAAGCACAGAGGCGGCCACTGGCCCAACGGTGTCATCCAGCACGGGTCGGCTGTGGGCATAGAGAAGCAAGCAAGGCAGAGGAGCAGCCGGGGTTGAGCTCCGGTGGCGGGCGGCGGGCGGCTCGCCGGCCAGAGGAGGCGGCATCGCGAGGTCTGGGCAGACCTGCGCCAATGGCTGCCCTGATGTGGCAGGGACCCTATTGTTTTTCTACAAACTTACAGGGACCTGATTGCTTTTTTAAATTTGTGTGCAGGCCCACGCCTAACGGTCAAACAAACGGTCAAAAATCATAATCACAATTAATCGAAAAGCACTCAATGATTTGGGTTTTCTGAAACAGCCGAACATCCATTTGGTAATTATCTGAGAAAAATTAAAAACCGGTAGTTTTTTGAAACCCTAGCCTGTAAAGTAGTAGTTTTATGCTATTTACTCGTTTTATCAGCCATACCAATAGACAACAGGTCCTGTTTTGAAGGGTTACAGGTTTATGACGTGTCGATATTCAAATACAGACACACAGTTACTCGAGACTCTGAAAGTTGACAGACATTACATCAAGGGTCACAGCGCAAGTGCTGGCATTTCACAGAACAGAGAAGGGCACATACTGGAATACTACACATGAAGAGATAGGCACAGATACCTCAGTACCGGTATTTGGTGGAGTAATCCTTGGAAGCAATCACCAGACCACGGCCCTTACGAGCTCCTCTGTAAACAGTCTCCACGATGTCAACAAACTCTTGCTTGTCTTTCATTGCCCAGTTGATCTTGTTGTTGTTTCCTGTCCCAAGATCAATCATGATGTGCTTGTTGCGGAAGAAGAACATGACCGTTGACGGGTCGTACAGCTCGTACATGGTGTTGAAGTCAGGAACCTCGGTGATGTCAACAAGGTAGATCACGGCAAAGTTCTTGATGGTCTCAGCCACCCCTGACAGCACCTCATCCATCTAAACATGAACAAGTAGATAGTCAGAAACTCGTAATGAAGTCAACAACATACAGCCATTCTAGGTTGATGTAGAACAAAAGCCTGCTAAAAAGTTAAACTGCAAGTCTGCAATCAATAATATAAAACCGCTAAAAAATTGGATTCCTCGCACAAAGTAATAAAATAATTGGCCGTAAATAAAAGTTTCGTCCCAGTCGTGGGCGAAGCGGATTAGCACTAGGCGCTCCTCCTCGGCGAGGATGGCCTGGTCCACGGCGCAGCCGGAGTGCAGGTGCGAGAGCAGATATGACATATTCGCGCTCGCTGAGATTTGTCGCCGCCGGCCGGCTGGTTCGGTTCGCGAGAGTCGACGGCGGGTGTGGTGTGTCTATGAATATATATCCTGTGGCTGTACTCCGAAGGAAAGGATTGGGTGTCCGACCCCGGCTGCTCCTCGCACTGACGGTCCGACCGTTAGATACAGAATCTAGGGACGGGGACGGGGTGCTGGGAGCCGGAGGGGGCGGGGGAGGGTGGGCGGGGCGGAGAGAGCGAGGAAGCGGTGCCGGGAAGAGCGGGAACAGCGGCGGCGGCGACGCGTGAAAAAATAGATTTTTATTTTTGAAGTTTGGATAAACCATTGCTTCGTCTGGTGTCTACAATACATATGATTCATTACAGTACTAATTTCATTTTTATCAGATCAAAAAATTTTATGCTCCAAGGCCCGCTCTCTCAGCGCTGCCGATAATGGGCCCGTCACAGGCCGGTCCGTTTAGCGCACGTGGTTGGTTTTATTTCTGAAAACAAATAATAGAAAATACATGTACATGTAAACAGATCGGCTTATAACACAAAAAATATGTGAAGGTGTGATTGGTTTTATTTTTGAAAACATTAATAGAAAATTCCTCTAGAAACAATAATAGAAAATACATGTATAAAGATCGGCTTATCTGATGCAAAAAGATGTGAACGTATGATTTCAACGGTTTTATTTCTCATGCCAAAAACGATTATTTCTCCCTTTTTTCGAATACGAAATGTTTGCCTACAAGCGACCGGCCGAAGCTAGCACGCGTTGGATCTAAACGCACCCTTCGCTTCATGTTGCGCCACGTTTGTCACGTTCGCCTTATCTCTTCCCCTCTCAGCTCGTCCACTCGTTCCCCTCCCGCACCCATCGTCTCGTATCTCGCGTTGTGTAGTCATGGATGACTCTCTCATGCCCATCCACCTCTTACTCACTAGTAGAAAAAGGCCCATTCGTCCCCGTTCATGAGGCCCAATTGTCCCGGTTGCCGAACCAGAACGAAAAGGTCGGTACTAAAGCTAATACCTTTCATCCCGGTTTGCGAGAAACCGGGACAGATGGGGCTCCACGTGGCCACTACGGCTTGCCCAGGCAGGAGGGCCTTTTGTCCCGGTTGTTGCCACC